TATATATATATATATATATATATATATATATATATATAAAAGTTTTTATATGAAGAACAGGGACAGGAGATTATATTCATTTACTAGGGCTCTAATGAGAGAGTTCCACAGATTAAGTAGCTTAAATAACTGAGATTAATTTTTCTCATAGTTCTGGAGGCAAGAAGTTTAAGGTCAAGATGTCAGGAGTTTTGGCTTTTTCTGAGACCTTCCTCTTCCATGTGCCAAAACTCCTCTACCGCCCCTCTGTGTATTAATGTAATTACTTCTGTAAAGGCAGTATCTCCAAATAGTTACGTTCTGAGGTGCTGAGAGTAGGACTTCCAGATGAGTTTGGAAGGAACACAAATGAGCCTATAACAGATGTTAACGGCGACTCTTAGGTTCTTGCTCTTGGCAACTTGGAGAATATTATTAATGTGAGAAAGAGTTGTAGTTAGGAAAGGGAAGTTGGTGAATTTCTTTGCTGCATTGAGGCATATAACCCTTAGTTTCTTTTCTCTGTCCTGTTAGGCTATAGGGACCTTTGATTCATGGACCTCATCATATTCTCAGAGTGTTCAGCAAAAGGTTGGCAGAGAGGAGTTACCAGTGTGTAAGTGTGATTCATGTAGCTGTCCCATCAGGCAACTGGAAATAGGGTGCTCCAACTTGGCTCATGACACAAAAGGAATCTTCCTCCTGTCATTTGCAACTCAAAAGAGATCTAGACCAACTAGTCTAGTCTTGCCATGTGCCTGTGCCTGTCTGGTGGTGGGTTCATTCATTCTTTCAGTCAGTTTTACTGAACCAGTTACTTTCTTGGAGATGTTTTAGGTACTTGGAATATAAAACAATAACTGTTAATCACAAGAGAGATGGTTGATTTACTAATTATTTCTTTTCCCCCAGAGGGAATAGGAGAGGGCAAAACATTCTTACCAAGCAGAAATTGCTGGGCAGATATGGAATTAGAACAAAGCAAATCACAAATTTTGAATGCGGATTTTCTCCATGGTTGGGAAGAAATTCATAGTAGGTTCTTCTACCTATCTAATAATTAACTTAGAAGCAATAATTAACTAATACTGATCTCTTAAGCTGGATATTTTTTTCTCTATTTCTATCTTCTTCAGAATCAGAACCGTATCCTGAGATCTGGAAGGAGAACTTGTATTAGGGCCACTGTGTGTAGTTGATGCCTTGTACACTGTGCAGGGGCCTTGGCTGAAAGTTTGAGTAGTATCTGGAATCCAGCCTACATTTTACTTACCAAGCTGTGTGCAGCTGTAGTCACCTGAGTGTCTTTGTCAGTTTCGACTCCTATAACACCACATACCAGGTGGCTTAACAACATACATTTATTTCTCATAGTTCTGGAGGCTGGAGAGTTCAGGATCAAGGTGTTGGCAAACCTGATGTCTGGTGAGGCCATGTTCTTAGGTTTGCAGGTGCCATCTTCTAGTAGCCTCATATTGTTCATACTGGGGGTTGAGGGACTAGCTCACTTTTTCTTCTCCTTTAAAAAAAAAAAATTAGTTGTCAGTGGGCCTTTATTTTATTTATTGTATGCGGTGCTGAGAATTGAACCCAGTGCCTCACACTTGCTAGGCAAATGCTCTACCACTGAGCCACAACCCCAGCCCTCACTTTTTATTCTTGTAAGGACACTAATCCCATTGTGGAATTTCCACCCTCATGATTTAATTTTCTCCCAGAGGCCCAGTACATCACATTAGGGTTTTAACATATGAATTTTCAGGGGCCACATTCATTCAACCCATAGCACCAAACAAGGAACATTTTTGACTCCTTCACATGAAACAGCCATGTTGGTCCCTGGGGAATATATATTGAAGGTTTAAGCTGCCAGACATTTCCAAAAGCTTTATGTATATTTAGATACTTTGACTGACCTTCCTATGAGTTTGGTATTATTATTATTCCCAATTTTTAGATTAGATGCAAAGGCACAAAGTACTGGCAAGTGGAGATGTCATTATTCAAATACTGACGGGCTGGTTAGAGCCTGTCCCTTTCATAGCTTAGTTCTCATCTCCCTCAAGCAGATCCTTTGACTTCGGAGTCCTCTCTGTTTCTGTGTCTGTCTTTTATCCATAGTTCTCAGGCTGTCATTTCTCTCTCTGTCAGACTTAGACTTCCATCTGCTTATTTTTGTCTTTAGAAGCAAAAGAGAAACAAGATTTACAACACTGGCTCTGGTGTGAGAGCTGGATTCAAGGACCACTGCTGCCTCTTGACCTCACCTGTCAATGGGTATAAGAATTGTCATCATGATTTCTTGAAAACTTGCTGAAATGCCAGGTACTTTGCCAAGGGTACTGCATGAATTTATTCATTTATTCCCCATAATAATCCTATGACTAATATTCTGTTTTTCTTCTTTTTATAGCTGAAGATGGGCACCAATGTGTAGGTGGTTGGACAAAGGTCACCTAACTATCGTAACAGTAGCTTCTTCACAGGTATGTGTGAGGGACCTAAATGAGACATGTGCCAAGTGCTTCACAAGGCCTCTAATATCTACTTAGTGTTTATTTAATGTTAGCCATTATTGTTTTTATGATTATGATGATAATTAGCTTGTTAACTTCATTGACATTGATTATCAAATTTGGGGTTAAATAAAACTTAGAGAGACACAGGTTTTTGTTAAAGTTCCTTATCTCCATGATAAAGTCTTTTTAAGACCCTACCTTGTTAACAAGGTAGATTTTGCAACCCAGTCATCCATAGAGTTAGACACATAGACATAGAGGAGGAGTCACCAGTGGCTTGGGAGTGGGAGTTATTGCTTAGTGGGTTCAGAATTTCAGTTTGGGGTGGTACAGAAGTTCTGGAGATGAACAGTGTGGGTGGTTGCACAACATTGTCAATGCACTTACTAAATTGTACACTTAGAAGTGGTTAAAGTGGTAAATTTTACATTTTATATCCCCCAAACCCCAGTCATTTAGGAAATCTTAAATATTATTTCAGAGGCATCAAGTTAAGCATGACAGACTAAGAGAATAACAGATACTCCAGAAGTTCGAGGTGGTTTTCATTTGAAAGCAACAACCTTTTGGCTTTTTTTCCTCATTCTCACGTTATGCCTTCCTAAGACTCAGTGTTCCCCAAAGGAGGAGGACACAATGACCAAATTCAAGGTGAGTTGGGCTTACTGTTCCACATTTTAAATTGTCGTTTTCATTTCTGAGAGATTACATACATCTTGCTTCTTTTTCTGAGGAAGAATTAAGGATAATAGTAGGCATTTGAGAAGCTCTTGGGTGCCAGATGCTTACTACCTTTTAGTATAGTTTAATTTTCATTGCTTTATCATTTTATAATTTGATCAAAAAGCATAGAAAAGTCAATAGTGGATAAAAATCTTCCAATTTTCTACTATTTTTTTTTTAATAAAATGACAGTTATTTTCCCATGCTGTTTTCTTCATATGCATTCAAATATAGGATACAAAAAATTTTATATTTATTTACAGGTAAATATAATGGTATATTTGTAATCATTGTATAGATAAAATTCTGTTATACCTTTTATAAGAACTATTATATGCCCAGCATTTTTTATGATTACATCATTGTGTTAGCTGTGACCAAAATACCTGACATGCTGGGCATGATGGCATGTGCCTGTAATCGCAGTAGCTCTGGAGGCTGAGACAGGAGGACCTCAGCTTCAAAGCCAGCCTCAGCAAAAGCAAGGTGCTAAGCAACTCAGCAAGACCCTTTCTTTGAATTGAAATACAAAATAGGGCTGGGATGTGGCTCAGTGGTTGAGTGCCCCTGAGTTTAATCTCTAGCACCCCCCCCCCCCCCCAAAACAAACAAACAAACAAACAAAAACCTGACAGTAACAATTTAGTGGAAGAAAGATTTATTTTGGTTCATGGTTTTAGAAGTTCAGTCCATGGTCTGCTGGCTCCAGGGCAGAAATATGGTGGAGGAAATCTGCTCAGCTCGGGACAACGTGGAAGGAGACAGGAAGAGACCAGGGACAAATATAGTTCCAAGACCATGCTCTAGTGACCTGCTTCCTCCAGCCAGGTCTAACCTGCTTATCATTTTCACCCCTCCTGGTGAAGTCCATTCAAATTATTATTATTATTGTTTTATATATATATATTGGGCTGGGGATGTGGCTCAAGCGGTAGCACACTCGCCTGGCATGCTTGCAGCCCAGATTCGATCCTCAGCACCACATACAAACAAAGATGTTGTGTCCGCTGAAAACTAAAAAATATTAAAAAATTCTCTCTCTCTCTCTCTCATATATATATATATATATATATATATATATATATATATATATATATATTAGTGTTGATGGATATTTATTCATTTATTCATTTATTATATATACAGAGCTGAGAATCAAACCCAGTGCCTCACACATGCTAGGCAAGTGCTGTACCACTGAGCCACAACCCCAGTCCCCATTCAAATTATTAATTCATTAAATGGATTAATCTACTGATGAGGTCTGATTCCTCATAATCCAATCTTTTCACCTCTGAACATTGCTGCATTGACTAATATATGAGCTTTTCAGTGGACGTTCCAGATCCAAACCACAGCAATTAATATTCCATTAAGTTGGCATATTCTGTTGCGAGGAGAGTTGAGAGATAATTTTTCCCTGTTCATGGACATTTAAGTAGTTTAGAATTTTTACAGTTATGTTAAGGAACAGTGTAGTACAGTTTTCCTAGATCATAAGCCTTTCCCCAAAAAGGAATTTGAAGGAGTTTTGTTATTATTTTTTTTTCTAATATTTGAGGAACACTAAATTGAAAAAGCACTTTTGATATGTGGTACTTTGCATATAGACTATAAAAATACAGCATGATGTAACATGATCTAACTAATCAAAGATCCACACAATAAAGCTAGATATCTTTTACCCATGCTGGAGTTACACTGCAGATGTGTTTACTTCCTGATCTACATTTTTAAAATCCATTACATTAATTTATTTTATTGAAGTAATAATGTATTTATTTTTTAAAGCTATAATACAAGAAGACTTGCTAGGTACTTTTATTGCATTTAGATCTCAAACCAACCTTAAAAAGTAGTGCTTGGTTTCATGTGCATTGCTAAGAATCAGGATTATAGAATTTCAGAAAACTGCTAAAATTCACACTGGAGACTGAAGATTCAACTGATTCAGAAAGTCTCCTAAAGTTTTTGCTTGGATAAGAGAGCAGGGAAGGGAAAAGAATTCTCTGTGTAAAGGATTTAGGTGCTGGGACACAGAACTAAACCAGTCAGGGTCATTCCTGGTGAACTGGGATGGCATGAAATAATCACACAGAGACAGAGAAATACCTTTTTCTTTGGGTTCTGTGATGGCTCCTCTGACCCAGGTCCTGCAAAGGAGGCAAGGCAGGCAAGAAAGAGAAAGACCATGCCTTGAACCTGTTTTTTTTGGGGAGAAGCCATTCAAATGAGGCAAGGGGTAGGATTACAAGGGAACAGGTGAGTGTAATTCAACCCCACCAGGTGACACCTACTCCTGGAGCCATGCCTCATTATCTGAGCGGAGGTAAATGTTAATGTGGGGCGCAATAATTGTTCAGTATCTCTTGCTCAGGGCTTAAGGACGTGTATTTCCAGAGCAGCTCCCAACACTTAGGCCTTTCTTTGTGGGTGCCAAAGTTGTCCTGGTGGGTTGAAGATACTACAGATCATACTGCCCCTTCTCAGTTCACGCTTCAGTGACCCATTGTCTATATTATTGACATAATTCATAGTTCTGCACATTCAGGCACAACTCTGGGGATGAACAGTGTTCAGATGAAAAGTTAAAACAGTGTTTAATTCTTATCAAAAAAATTCTTAATCATGAGTAATTCTATTTCCTAGGCAACATCTTGAAACAGTTTTGTCACAGTTGAGGGTGCTAGTGGATAAAATCTAGGGATGCTGCTAAACATCTTATAGTGCACCAGACAGCCCCCCATAGCCAAGAAGTGTCTGGCCCAAAATATCAGTTGTGCTAAAGTTGCGAAATACTGCCGTTACACAAAGCTATATAAGAATAATAGCAAAATATGGGTGGAAATGTCCAATATGTACACATACATACATATACCCAAAAACAAAAGTTTAAGATATTTAGTAGAAATTTAACAGAGACATAAGGTAAAACTCTAAATGGGATATAAGAAAAAGGATAATAATAAGCAAGGTACCAAAGAAAAAATAAAAAAGGCCAGTAAATATATGAAAATAGGATCTCATTAATCATCAAATAAGTGCAAGTAACCAAAACATGTTTTTTTTTTTACTAACTAGATTACCTAGAATTAAAAAAAAAAGTCAGTGTTGTCTATGATAATTTAGATAAATATGTATATTCTTTGGGGGAAGGATAAAATAGGGGAAAATTTGAAACCTGTCACTGTACATCAAATTTTGAAGTTGCATATTCATTGATATTGTAATTTTCACTTCTAATAATTAGATGGACTAATATTTACAAAAAAGTTGATCTTTTCAGCATTTATTATGACAAGAAAGAAATCTTTAAAACTTATATTATGGTAAAGTTGACTCTGGTCTCTTAGAATCTAGAACTGCAACACATCTTTTCTACTTTTCTCAGTGTTACCCTTCTTCCAGTGGATTTTTGCTGCAGCATTTAGGTGGAGTCTGTTTGATGTTTTAGGAGGTGGTGACATTCAAGGACGTGGCTGTGGTCTTCACTGAGGAGGAACTGAGGCTGCTGGACTCTGCCCAGAGGAAGCTGTACCAAGATGTGATGCTGGAGAACTTCAGGAATGTGGTCTCAGTGGGTGAGGACAGATGCTCTGGTGGAACATTAGCTCCCTGTGGCACGTCTGTGTCCCTAGATGTGCAGGGCTTTGGAGTTTTCTTTGGAGTTTTCATCATGAGACAGAGTTGAAATCTTTTTGATTTTTCTCCCCTGAGTAATGTGTTTTTTGTAAATGAATAAGTTGACAATATGATTGCTGTAATTTTTGTCTTTTCTCAAATTGCAGTCATCTGGGCTGGGGATATAGCTCATTTGTTAGAATGCTTGCCGCACATGCACAAGGCCCTGTGTTCAATCCCCAGCACTACACACATGCACTACACCAAACATACACACACACACACACACACACACACACACAAATTGCAGTCATCTCCAATTAGTGGGTCATGGTATTTAGTGAATTGTATGAAATTTTCTTTTTTTTAGTTGTTGATGGACCTTTATTTTGTTTATTTACATTCGGTGCTCAAACCCAGTGCCTCACACCTGCTAGGCAAGAGCTCTACCACTGAGTCACAACCTCAGCCTTGTATGAATGTTTCTTAATGAAATACATTACAGTAGAAAATACTGTACGTGGCCATAACTGCAAAACTGCATCGCATTGCCAAGAGCAGTGTGAGAGACAGTGGGGAGGGTACAGTGAAAACAGACATTTCTTTAAAAAAAAATATATATATATATATATTTATTTATTTATTTATTTTTAGCAGTATGGTGAGGAAAGCAGGTCATGACACGGCCACCAAGAAGGAGAAAAAGAGGAGAGAGGAGAGAGAGGACTTTTTTTTTCCAGTAATGTATACTAATGTCTTCATTATTGGGGTCTTCGCATAGAATATATTTCCTCTGTTGAGTCATGATTGAAAGTTTGGAAAACACTAGCTTTTTTTTTAGTTGTAGATGGATACAATACCTTTATTTCATTTATTTATTTATTTTATGTGGTGCTGAGGATTGAACCCCGGGTCTTGCACATGCTAGGTGAGCACTCTACTGCTGAGCCACGACCCCAGCCCATAAACACTAGTTTTGATGTCCTGAAGATGATGCAGGGAGAATGACAATTTTTAGCAATTTTGGCCTCTAATGTATTTTGTTTTTGTCTTTTCGTAGGACATCAGTCCATCACACCAGAGAGAGAGAGAGAAGAGCTTTGGATGAAGAAGGTGTCAACTCAGAGTGGTAACTCCCCAGGTGAGAACCATGCATTTCTGTGTCTGTCCTTGTCATCTCCACAGCTTTGCTCTGAGTTAAACTAGTGCCTGGGTCTCTAATCACCGAAGTGGTCTTTATTCTGCCCTCACCCTTCAGTTGTGCTCTCTTATAAGTCCACTCTCCACTTTAATTGGCTCCTTTTTTTTTTTTTTTTTTTAATTTTTTTAAGTCGTTGATGGATCTTTATTTTTATGTGGTGCTGAGAATCGAACCCAGTGCCTTACACATGCTAGGCAAGTGCTCTACCACTGAGCCACAATCCCAGCCTCTTTGACTCTTGAATGTTAGTCAGATCATGTCTCATTTCTTATTCTAAACCTCTAACGACTTCTTACTTCATTTAGAGTAAAATCCAGGTACCTAAAGTGGTTTATAATGTCTCATGTGTCTGTCTGCTCCTTGTTCCCCCATTGTTCTGTAAACACACCTGTGACTTTCCTCCTTGTCAATCAGTTCCATCCGTACTGGCCTCTCTGCTAGGCTGAGTGTGCTTGTGCCTCATCACCTGCTGCTTGGACTGCTTTTTGTAAGGAGTGGTGTTTCCTTCTGAAGTAAGGCCCCTCCCTTACTTCATCAGGTCTCTTCTCAGATGTCCTATCTGAAGAAAAGCCTTCCATGACCACTCTCTTAATTTTGCCTTCTTCCTTTGCTTCCCTTTTCCTGTTTATTTTACATCTAAGCATTGATCACCACTTATTATATTAACATATTTTTGTTTACATGATTATCTCACTGTATTCCCACTGGAATGTGACCTCAGAAGAAAGGAAAATTTTTGTCTATTTTGTTGGTCTATCCTCAGTGTATAAAATTGACCAGGCAGAGGGCAGGTTTCCTATAAATACTTGTGGAATGAATTAATGTGTTAATAATGGTTACATGGATTTTTTTCTATTAGTTATGGAAATACTTAAAGGTTGGTAAGTACAAATGTACAAATGTGTGATGAAACTCAATCTAGAACAGCTTTATTCGGTTAGGTGTCTAACCTATTTCTAGTTTACGAGGTTCTTTTGGATATAGGTAAACATATGCTAATATCCATTAATTCACTGTCTTAGTCTGTCGCAATTGCTATAACAATTACCCTAGACTGAATGGCTGAGCCAGTTGTACATGCAGTAAGCAGAAAAATTATGTAGAAGATTTTACCAGACACCTGCTGCAGCAAAAGAAGGCAAGCCTTTTGGTAAGGTTCAGCTTCTTGGTATAGGTTTCCTAGGAAGTATTATTCTTGCTCTTTGAGTATCAAATTTCTAACTTATAGCTTACTTATAAAACTTAGGAAAACTCTAAATTGGTGTCATTATTGTGCAGTGAATGGGAGCATAGTAGACTGTCTCTTGGTTTTTGGGCTCTTATAAGACAGATAACCTAATGCATGATGATAAAGAAAAATAGAACCTTCTTAATAAAACCTTAGGCTATTGGCCTTATCATGTAACTGAACAGAGCATTCACATGCCTCATCTCTGAATTCTCTTTGTCCTTTTAGGAAATAAGAATCTAAGTGAGATAGAGACTCTCCAAGAAGTAAGGTTACAGTATCTGCCCCATGATGAGCTTTTCTACTCACAAGTCTGGCAACAGGTTACAGGGGACTTAACTGGGCATCAAGATTCTGTGATAAATATTCAAGGAACTGGCTCTTGGTTAAAAAAACAAGATGTTGCACTCTCTGAAGATGTGTTCAAGAAATGTTTTAACAAGGATTCACGTCTTCAAGTTTACCACAGAATCCATGTTGATAAAAAACATTACAAAAGGGAGACATGTAAGAAAGGTTCAATTTGGGATTCTCATCTTGAAGTTAACCAGAGACCCCATGCAGGAGACAAGCCCTACAAATGTGAAAAATGTGATAATACCTTCCGTCGATTTTCCAGTCTGCAAGCCCATCAGAGAGTGCACAGTAGAGAGAGTTCAAACAAATCTGATGAATTGTGTAAGGGTTTCAGTCAAAAGTTGCAATTTCCCCATCATCGGAGAGTCCGTACTGGAGAGAATCCATACAAGCATGAGGAGCATGGGAGGAGTGTCCGAAAAAGCTCATATTGCCAAGGTCCTCTGCTAGTCCACCCAGGAGAGAAACCCTATAAATGTGAGGAGTGTGGAGTGAGCTTCAGCCAGAGCTCTTATCTTCAAGTCCATCAGAGAGTCCACACTGGAAAGAAACCTTATAAATGTGAAGAGTGTGGGAAGGGTTTCAGTTGGCGTTCACGACTACAGGCCCATCAGCGAATCCACACTGGAGAGAAACCATACAAATGCAATGCATGTGGCAAGGGCTTTAGTTATAGCTCACACCTTAACATTCACTGTAGAATCCACACAGGGGAGAAACCCTACAAATGTGAGGAGTGTGGGAAAGGCTTCAGTGTGGGTTCACACCTTCAAGCCCATCAGATAAGCCACACTGGAGAGAAACCATACAAATGTGAGGAGTGTGGGAAGGGTTTCTGTCGGGCCTCAAATCTTCTGGACCATCAGAGAGGCCATACTGGAGAGAAACCGTATCAGTGTGATGCTTGTGGCAAGGGCTTCAGTCGTAGCTCAGATTTTAACATTCATTTTAGAGTCCATACAGGAGAAAAACCCTATAAATGTGAGGAGTGTGGTAAGGGCTTCAGTCAGGCCTCAAATCTTCTGGCCCATCAGAGAGGCCACACTGGAGAAAAGCCATACAAATGTGGTACTTGTGGGAAGGGCTTCAGTCGGAGTTCAGATCTTAACGTTCACTGTAGAATCCATACAGGAGAGAAACCCTATAAATGTGAAAAGTGTGGCAAGGCTTTCAGTCAGTTCTCAAGTCTTCAAGTGCATCAGAGAGTCCACACTGGGGAGAAACCATATCAGTGTGCTGAGTGTGGGAAGGGCTTCAGTGTAGGTTCTCAGCTTCAAGCCCATCAGAGGTGCCACACTGGAGAGAAACCATATCAATGTGCGGAGTGTGGGAAGGGCTTCTGTCGGGCCTCAAACTTTCTGGCTCATCGTGGTGTCCACACAGGAGAAAAACCATACCGATGTGATGTGTGTGGAAAGCGTTTTCGACAGAGATCCTACCTTCAAGCCCACCAGAGGGTCCACACTGGAGAGAAGCCATACAAATGTGAGGAATGTGGGAAAGTCTTCAGTTGGAGCTCATACCTTCAAGCCCATCAGAGAGTTCACACTGGAGAAAAACCATACACATGTGAGGAATGTGGGAAGGGCTTCAGTTGGAGCTCAAGTCTTATAATTCATCAGAGAATCCATGCTGATGATGAGGGTGATAAGGACTTCCCTTCATCATAAACTCATAAATTTTACGTTTTAGTATCTCAAATGAGTGCTGAAATAGTCCAATTATCAGAGCTGTCATAGAAGATAAAAGATTTGCTTAATAAAAGGGCTGGTTTTTGCTAGAGATTGATAGTGGTTGAGAGACCAAACACAGAGAAGCCTCATAAGAATGGAACCATAGGACTTTATTCAGAACCTTCACCTCTAACAGATATATACAGACAAGAAGCTCAAGAAGGATGAATCTGATCTGGAAAAAACTAAAAAGTACCAAGATGGAAGTGCCAAAATCCATTCAATTAGAATATAATTTCCAAAAGAGTAGAGACCTTATTGACTGCCAAATCTCTGCATTTTCAGTGCCTAGTATATTGTATGCTCACAGTAATTGCTAAATAGTAGAAAGGAGACCAGTTATATTTAAAGTTTTTTATCCAGTTCATCTCTAAATTAGTTTCTGTAAAATCATCCTCAGATGAATTGTTCTACAAGGCTTAGAGGACATTTAAATTAGATATATGCACACATCTTTCCAACCCTGTGCATCCTATAAATGAAGATTTATCAAATTGGGGAGTGGTATAGCTCATTAGTAGGTTCATAACTCAGTTCAGTGGATTGTGGCCAGAATTATTGTACCTTATTGGGGTATAGTTTGAATTCAGTAACATGTATAAATCTCAAATCTGTGGCTTCCTAAATTGTTTTTTGGTGCTGGGGATGGAACCCAGGGTCTCACCCATGCTAAGCAAGTCCTCTATCACTGATCTACACCCCAGTTCACTTCCTAAGTTTTGACAAATGTGTACAATATTTTTGTTAAGCAGAAAGTTTCTCCATGCCCATTCCCAGTTAATCCCACCTTCAATGCCAATATATATTATGATTTTTACTCTATAAATTAGTTAGCTCTGTTGAATATCATATTGGTTCAGTACTTTTCTGTTTGTGGATCCTTAGGATTAGTGTTTCAGATTCAGAGAAAACATTTAACAAAATTTAGCATCTGTTCATGATTAAAAATTTCTTAGATAAAAGATATATGAAACATAACATTAAAAAATTTTTAAATAAGGAATAATTTATATACACTAAAGCTGAGCTTTGGTAAATGTTTACTGTCAGGTAACCACCACCACAGTAAAAAACTTTTAAAAGTTCTAGTACCCCCTGCCTCAAAGTTCCCTTGTTCAGTAGTCAGCCCTTCTCCCCATTGCCAGTCTGTGGCAACCACTGACATGTTTTTTATTACTTTTACTTTTCCCAATGGAATCTAATAGAATGTAGATTGTTGATTCTGGCTTTTTGCACTTTGCATAATGCTTGGGAGATTTGCACGTCTTCTTACATGTATCTGTCATTTCCTTTTTTTGTGGAGCGGGACAGTGCTCGGGATCAAACTTAGGGCCACATGAATGCTAGGCTAATGCTCTACCACTGGGCTCCTTCCCCAGGCCTCAAGTCATTCCTTTTATTGCTGAGTAGTACTCTGTTGTGTGGATGTACCACATTTGCTTATCCATTTGTCACTTGAAGAATATTTGGGTTTTCAGATTCAGCAGCTATGAAGAAAGCAGCTAGAAACATTTGCATACAGTTTTGTGTATCAACATGATTCCTTTTGTCTTCATAAATATCTAGGATTATTGCTGGGTTGTATGGTAAAAATATTTTTAACTTTCCAAAACATGGACAAACTTCTAAAATGGCTGTCCATTTTGTATTCCCATCATCAATGTATGAGAGTCCCAGTTCTTTCTCACCAAGATATGTTAGGGTTTCCTTTTGTTTTTGTTTAATCTGTTGTGTTTCACAAGGCTTTAGTGGTATCTCATTTTGGTTGTAATTTGTGTTTCCCTAGGACTACGTTCAGTGTCTTTACATGTGCTTGTTTGGTGTTCTTATTTACTTTGGTGAACTGTTGAAATCATGGCCCTTTAAAAAAAAAAAAAAAAAAACAGAAAAAACAACTGTGTGTGTTAAGGAAAAAAAAAAAAACAACTCTGTGTGTGTGTGTATATAACTGATCCAAATACATATCTGTTGTTAGCCATGTGCTTTGCAAATATTTTATCACAGTATGTGGCATTTGTTTTTATTTGATTAACAGTATTTTTCACAGAGTGGAAATTTAAAATTTTTTGATAAGGTTCAATTTTGGACTTTAATGGATTATTATTTTTCTGTTCCCAGATATAAGTACTCTACCTAATCCAAGGTAACAAAAATTTTATGTCTTCAGGACTGTGAAGATATCTAGGACTGTGAGCCATTTGAGTTAATCTGTTAAGGTGTGAGGCCAAGGTCCCTTTTTTTGTATGGACACTCAATTATCTACCTTTTCAACACTGAATTGCTCTCTCACCTTTGTCAAAAATCTATATGTAGGTCTTTTTCTGGCCTTTGGTTTCATTGATCTTTGGATCTATCATTTTGCCAAATATTGCACAACCATAGCTCTTGTTTATATATCTTGAAATAGGATAATGTAAGTCTTCCGATTCCATTGTTTTTCAGCACTAATTTGACTTTTGTTTATCCTCCTATAATCTGTAGACTCTAGCTTTGTGATTTTTAAAAGTGCATTCTTCTGATTTTTCTTAGGATTTCATTGAATGTATAAAATGAATTTAGAGACAATTGTCATCTTAGCAATATTGAATGTTCCACATCATAGACATGGTATAATTTTGTTTGGAACTTCTTTGGTTACTTTCATGAGAAGTTTGTAGTTTTTAGCATATAGATCCTGTACATATTTTATTAGATTTATACATAAGTATCCCATGCTTTTTGGTGCTAAATTAAATGGTACTGTTTATCAAACATTAATTTTCAGTTGTTCATTGCTAAAATGTAGAAGTACAATTTTTATGTACTACAATAGAAGTACAATTGTTTATATCCTACCCTCTTGCCAAACTTAATAGTTTAAATTGTTAAATAGCTGAAGGAAATCCTTCCTTCCTTTCTCTCCCCCATGTATTGTGCCCAGGGGTCCTTAACCACAGGACTACCTCCCAGACTTTTTTTTTTTTTTTTTCCCATTTTGAGACAGGGTCTCACTAAATTGCCTAGAGCCTTATTAAGTTGCTGAGGCTGGTCTCAACTTGTGATTCTCCTGCCTTAGTCTCTTGAGTCACTGGGATTACAGGCATGCACCACCATGCCCAACCCTTGGGACTTTGTGGGTGGATAATCATGTTATCTGTAAAAACTTTTTTTTTCTTTTTCCCTGCCAATCTGTATACCTGTTACAGCAACTGCATTGTGACATGGAGCAGCTCTCTCCAAAGTTAGGTTTGTTTTTCATGAATTGTGACAGTAGCCCCTTTGATTCCAAAAGGTGAGGAATGGGGTTTATTGTGAAATCTAGTACAGAAAGAGTAGTCAGTAGAAAGTCTAGAACAGAAAGAGTAGTCAGTGTTCATATTATACAGGGGAAGTTCTGCCAGCAGGAAGTTTAAAAGAGATGGTGGGAGGGCACATGCACTTGGGATCCACAGGGGAACCTTGTCAGGATTGTGAAGGAGGCAGTAGACATGGGAAGGTGATGAGGCTTATGGATTGCTTACACTAAGTCAAAGAGTAAGTTTCCTAGAATTGTCACGGTTCACCCCTAATATTTGGGTCAGTACTACAATCTCAGGTTTCCTGTGAACAAATATGTATTGGAGAAAGGTGAAGTTTGCAAATTGACCCAAATTAATTAGTGACTTAGGTTTTAAAAAACTAAAGAGGGCATGAATTGTTACCATCCAAAACCAAATGGGACAAGTTAAGGCTTGTTTGAGAGATCAGAGCAAAGAGAGCCAATACTTATTGCTTGAATGCATACAGCTGCTTTATCATGGACCAAATTTTGCATCCAAATTTGATAGAGGTAGGTCTCTGGACCTTGTTGTACGTCATGGTAGTTTAGCCAAGATCAAAGTCTAATCAACATTTCTAATGTCTTATATGATGGCTTCATAAGTTTCTTTCTTTAGTACAGTATCATCACTAATTCCATAGCTGAGTGTGTGGGGATATACAGGCCCTTGATTGTCCTTTCTCCATACATTTTGAACAGTGGAGGGCTACAGAAATAGCCAATAGGTATTAAAAAAAAAAAAAAAAGTATGTGTAAAATGGGATCCCTCAGATAAATGTAAATTGTAGTTTTGATGGATAAATTGGGACAGTATAAAATATTAAGCTCGATCAGTAGCTTTGAAGCAATATCAGTAATATTTGGTAAGGGGCCTTAACTGGAGATATTATAGGGATTATGAATGTTATGAGGTATTCATTTTTACTCATGTTAAGGGTAGGCCAAATAGGGCAACTGGAAGGAAAAAAAGGAGACAAGGATTCTTTTTGCAATGAAATTATTAAAAACAACACTTAATTCTTTCAACCTTCTTTGTTCCGACAACATGAGGTGTTCATAAATTTAATAGGTCATTGTTTAATAGCACTAGCATAACCGTTTGTAAAGGGATTGGCATTGGATTTCTGCAGTCTTTCTTACTCCCAACACTTTTGACAAAATATGTAGGGGCTTTCTATACCACTTCTCCAACTCTGACACCAAGTGGGTGTGTAATGAAATGATTTATTTCATTTCTGATAGTAAGTACCTGATTAGCACCAGATCCCAAAGATTAAGGGCTCATTCCCATAAGACTCCCCCAACTGAGAATCCAGCCTTGAAGTCCCAGGCCTCTTAGTTCTGACCAACTAGCTCCCTCCTTGGATGCAAGAATTTCCTAGAATGATTTGCAGAACTCAGGAATTCCTGAGTTTAATTTCTCTTGCCAATGTATTACAACAGATAAAACAGCCACATGGAAGAGGTACATAGGGTGAGGTACCTGGGAGTGCAGGAGGCAATGCAGCGTTTCCATGCCCCCTCCAAGAGCATCCCTCTCCCAGCACCTATCAAGGTGTAGTGTTGTAGTCACCAACTTGGAAGCTCTTTGAACTCTCAAAGGGGTTTTTATGGAAATTTCACTATGTGTGCATGGCTGAGGAAATTTACCCTTAGATTGAGCTCCATCTGTGCCCCCTCTTCCCCTTCTGAGACATCAGTAGTGAGTGGGGCTCATGGTTCCAACTCTAAAAATGTTGTAGAATAAGAAGTGTTGCTTTCAAAATGTTCTGAATGTGCCGATATCTCTTTGTTTTGTTTTGTGGTGCTGGGGATTGAACCCAGGGCCTTGTACATAAGAGGCAAGTACTCTAACAACTGAGCAATATCCCCATCCCTGTATGGATATCATTTCTTTATACACTTGAAAAGGCTGCTTTTGTGAATTACATATAAAAATACATTTTTTTGTTGTTGTTTGTTTTGTAGTGGAGAGTGAACCCAGGGCCTGGCATGGGCTAGGCAATCATGCTACCCCTGAGCATGTTTTCTAAACATTATGTTAAAAATACTTTTCATGGGCTGGGATTGTGGTTTTGTAAGCGCTTCTCTAGAACGTGTAAGGCACCAGGTTCCATCCTTAGCACCAAATATATATGAAAAAAAAGTTCATGACCTTAAAAAAATTTTTTTTTTCGTGGCCAAAAAAGAAAAGGAACAACCAGAAAGTAAAAAAGAAAAAACTAAACTGGGAGAAAATATTAACAAGAAAAATGAGACATGAATACATAAACAATATTTAAATGAGGTTAAAACATAGAAAAGGTTTGGAAAATTTACCAAAAATTAATAATGACCCTTGAAAACACAAAGGTGTTCTATTTTATTTACAATACAGAAAATATAGGTTTAAAACTACATTTAGATACCGGTCTACCTCGCCTATTCTGCAAATCAGGCTTTAGCTTCATAACGACAGATTAAATACCTTTTCAGTCGCTTACTGAGTCCTGGTTAATTCCTTGAAGAGCCTATCTCATTCGTTCCAACAACCCTGCCAGGCTGGAGGGTATTTACACTGTCTTTGAAATAGTTTTGTGTGAGGATTCGGGTGAATGTGAGGACAGCCCTCAGTTCACATCATCA